GGGGTTCATTAATCCCCTAAATGAGAAATTACCCCATGGTTGGGGGGGGGGTCGTTAACCCCCCAAAATGAGAATTTACTCCGGGGGAGGGGGGGGAAGGAGAATTAAACCCCCTCCCCAACATTACACCCCATGGGGGGAATAACCCCCCCCTCCCCAAATACAAAACACCTCCAAAAAAAAAAAAGCAATTAAAGCCCCAAAAATAAAAAAATAAAACATTCCTTCCGTGCGGAGACAAGTACACCCTAATGCCGAGCTGCTCCCGAAACAGAACGGGGGGGAAAATCCCACCCCCCAAATTAAGAAACGACCCCACCAAGGGGAAAAACTCTTCCCCAACGCCGGACCCCGGCGGGGCAGGACCCCCAAACCCCTCTCGGGACGGGGGGGGGGTCCCCCATTGTGGGGGGGGGTCCCCAAACTCCCCCCCGTACTCACGGCCGGGGGTCGGATCTTGCAGATGCCGCTTTTCTCGGCGATCGGGCGGATCTTGGCGATGTAACCCAAGGGGTCGCTGAACTCGGCCCAGCTGGGCTCGAACACCGGGCATTCGGGAGGGGGCAAAAAGTCCTCGGGGGGCTCCGCTTCTCCTTGAGGCCACGACGACCCCCATTCCCCGCGCTGCTCCGGGCCGGCCCCGCCGCGGGGACCCCCGAGAGGCCGCCGGGCCTTGTCCTCCGCGCCGGGCCGCTCCCCGCCGCGGGCCCCGCGTTCCTCGGGGGGTTTGCGGGGGCTCCGCTCCTCTCCCGGGGGTCGCCCCCCGGGCCCTTTACCGGGTCCCCCCGCGCCTTTACCCCGCGGCTCGCCCCCGGCCCGGGGTGGGCGAGGAGCGCTCGCGGCCTTCTCGTCCCCCGCCGCTTTAGGGGGGGCGGCCGCCGGTCGGGGAGGCCCCGAGTCGCCGGGGGGCTCCGGACCCCCCCAGTCCGCGCCCCGGCCCCGCTTGGGCTCCTCGTCCCCGTCGGGCGGCGGTGGGGGGACCCACGGCGGGGATCCCCCCGGGCCGGGCCCCCACTCGGCCCAGCCGCTCCCTGCGCGCTGCTGCTCCCCTTCCTCCATCCCTCGCACCGAGGGGAGCGGGGGGTTCCCGGGCTGCCCGCGGGGACCCCCTCAGGGGGCCATGGAGGCCCCGCCGCCCCCGCGCCGCCCCCTCACAGGCCGCGGGCCGCCCCCCCTCCCCCGAGCCGCGGGGAAAGGGGGGGTCAGAACAACACCCGCGAGCTCCGCCGACCCGCCGGCCCTTCCGCGGCCCTTCCGCCGCCCCTCCGGCCCTTCCAGCCCCGCCGCCCCGCGCTCCGCTCGCCTCACACCCGAGGCCTGCCCGGTCCCCCCGGCCGGGCCGCCGCCGCCATCTTGGATCCTCCTCCTCCTGCCGCCCGCCCCCCGCCCGCGCGCACGCGCGCACTGCGCAGGCGCGGCCGCGCACTCCGCCCCGGGCGTTGTGGTGAGTTCGCGTGTCCTTCCGCCGCGGGACCGGGACGGGCGCCGAGCGCCGCCACAGCGCCGAGCCCGCCGGTGAAGACGGGAGCAGCGACAGCGGAGAACAGCACCGGAGCACCCCCCGCTGCAGTCCGGGTAGCGGGAAGCAGTGTGGCAGGATGAGGGATGGAGAAATAGTCCTCAGGCTCCGCCCCTTCGCCGCGGAGGGATCCGAGGCACCGCTCGCCTCCGCGGCTGGGTCAGCGGAGGAGCCGGGACTTGTTGTGCACGTTTAAAGGGGCGCACGGCGCATGCGCGCCCGGAGGCAGCGGGGTGGGCGGGGCCACGCAGAAGGGCGGGGGTTAATAGGGTCGCGCCCCCTTAGGCCACGCCCCCTGAAACTTCCGCGGCCTCCTCGAGACCCCAGGGACCCTATAGACCCCTATAGACCCCTATGGACCTCCAGGGACCCTCATGGACCCTATAGACCCCTATCGACCCCCAGGGACCCTATAGACACCTATGGACCCACATGGACCCTCATAGACCCTATAGACCCCTATGGACCTCCAGGGACCCCCATGGACCCTATAGACCCCTATGGACCCTGTAGACCCCCAGGGACCCTCATGGATCCTATAGACCCCTATGGACCCTATAGACCCCTATGGACCCCCAGGGACCCCCATGGATCCTCATGCATCCTATAGAGCCCCATGAACCCTATAGTCTCCACAGACCCTAGAGCCCTCAGGACCCCTATAGCCCCCATAGATCCTACAGCCTCCAAGACCCCTATAACCTCCAGGACCCCTGGATCCCCCCGGACCTCTATAGCCCACATAGCCCCTATAGCCCC